GAAGAAAAGGTCTGGTTTTTAATATATATTAGTCAGTTTTTCATTCTTTTTGACAATCTTATTTAACTGATTTAATATTGGATCTTAATTCCAGCCAAAAATTTAAAAACTAGGAAATTTAATGACCACATCATTTCTCTCTGTGTAGCTTCCTATACATGAAAGGTCAATGTCAGTCAGACTGTACCATTTGGCATGAAGATGAATATAGAAGCTAAAGAGGATTTGAAAAATACATGATCTGGCATTTGAAACTGAAGTCTRGGAGTTGAGTCCTGCTTTTATTCCTTTTATCTTCTGGTGACCTAGCACTTCTTCTCTGATGGGGTGTGTTTACAGATTTAATAGGTTTTTTTGTCCTACTGCATGGCAGTGGAGAAGGTCCTGTAGGGGCTAGGTCAAATTTTTAAGTAGTTTGGGATGTCTGGTTGATGCTACCACTCTCCCTAGAGGCATTTCTGTGCAGAAAGTATGGAAAACAGCGTTAATACTCTCCACATCTCACAGAAAGTGAAGGAGAAGCCTATTTACCTAAAAATCTTTGGCAGGGATGTCTGGTCCCCTTGTTTCTTGTTATTGACTGTAGGAAGAAGGGAAAGTGTCTGGGTTACTAATGTAGTGTTTACCGAGGCTTCTGTAGCTCAGTGAAACCCATCTGAGCGTTAGTGCCTTAATTTTCCCATCTGTGAAACAGAGGTTATGTCTTGCAGTGGAATCGTGATCCTCACTGCTTCTGTGTTCAGAATGCCTGGAGAAAGGAGGCAGAGGGAAAAGATGGTGTGGTGTGTTCTGGTCAGGGTGGTGTTTGCTCTGAAAGCTGCAATACACAACCTAAAAGTACAGCACAGGTGTGGAGATACACAGAACAGAAAGGGTAACAGTGAAAAATAAATTATCATTAGATGTTTAATAAGCCTTATTTCCTTGTGCAGTAGTGCTTTTAGGTGGTGTGATTAGGGATCTCAGGAAAGTAGTTGGATATTTCCAGTCAGTCTTGGAAATACCCATTTTAGTGTGCACAGCAAAGGTGGAGGGACCTGTGATGATTTGAATATTTGCACACAGGGCTTTGTGCRTAGTCCCTCTGCATCTGCTGKCTTGTTATTCTTTATCTTTAGWTGCTCAAYTTGATAGTTGCATGAACTTCTCAATTGAAAAGTATAGATATATATAATATGGCTTTATTGTGCACTTTTAAAGAGCCGAGACAGCAGTCAGCCTGCAGAGATGGTCTTACAAAATTATAACAAATGTCATAAAACTTCCAAATTTCCAAGATTTTTATGAAATGAAACTTGGCTGAATAAGCCAGGTCTTCATGTCATCCAYTTGTCTTTCTCTGGAACCACACAAAGCTCCCTTCTGTCATATCTGAGCCTTTTGCACTTCCAGTGCCACATGATTCACGTTTTCCTTGGTCTGTCCTGCCAGCTGGGTGACCCCATAATAGRGGTTGAATTGTAGTGAAAGTATTTGCATAGTTAAAATGACTGAGAGTAACACAATTATTACATTTTGSGAAAATCGCATTGTGGATATAAAATAAATATTTTAATTTTGCTCTGGTTTATGTATCTTGGAGATGGTTCCTTAGTTTGAGCTATTCACTGATGGCCCTTGGACTTTAAAGCACTTCAGGATAAAGATACTCTGGTGGCATCTGACCAGCTTATCTGATTTTTAAGGTGTTTAAAATGTGGAATTGAACTTTGGAATCAAACTGGCCAACAGCTACAAGTTYGAATCTATTGTCTCAGGCTGTTTATAATTTAGTCTGTGTCTTGCAAGTCGTTTGAACGGGAAGTGGTTCCAAAGTRCACATTTAGCATTCACTCATGGGGTTTCACTTTCTCTGTCTGCAGTAACTTCTCCTGTGGAAGCAGAACTAAAGGGTCTGCAAAAATTTGACYTCATTGGTGCTCACAGATGCTACACTGAATATGAAATTACTCTAACTCCACTTCCTTGGGGGCTGCTAAAAGATTTCTGTAACTTCAACCTCTGTGAAGTGATGTTCGGGATGACTCCTACTTTTGTAACTGCATATTTAATTGCATATCTTAAAGAGTAGAGGGTGCTACCATGGAAGAACTTTTCCCTTCAAATGTATGTTACCTTGTTTTAGTTTTCTCTTTTATGGTTTTGTCATGCATATGTAATATCAGCTCTTCCAGAATAACTTTATCATATTTAAAGTATGAGCTGAGTTTGYAATTTGATTTAACCTACATTGAGGCTCCTCCCCTGTTTCTAGGTACAGAGAAATCTACTATCTTCTTTCTTAACATGCCTAGGTTATCAGGCACTATCAAATAGCTATCACTCATTCCTACATCTAGTAYGGCATATTCAGACTATGAAGGATCTCAATCCCTAATTGCTGCAAATCACCATTTGTAGCAAGATGAGTCAGGTTTTTGGAATGAAATCTCAGATGATCTCGTGATCTTTGGCCTTTGCAAGAAATTTGTTTTTTGCTAGGAGTTGGCATATAATTTATTAAAACYGGAAAACTTTGATACTTTTTATCCTGCAATAGAAGACTGAGCTGCTGCTGAGGTGCAGGAGGTAAGGTTATGCTGCCCCTGGAAGAATTCACTTGTTTCATCCTATCTGATATTTCAGTTTCATCCCCTCCTGATCTGATGTCCTTCTGTTGTCACTTCTCATTTTCACAAGGTACTCCTCCTGCTGTCAGRAGTAGTAGGATCATGTGGTCGCTGAGGTTTGAAGGTCCCTCAGGTCCCTCTCCAGCCCAACTTCCTGCTCAGAGCTGGGTCAGCTGTGAAATCAGACCRTGTCTCTCAGCATCTGACACAGCTGTGTCTTGAAAACCTCCCCAGATGGAGACTGYRCTGTGTTTCTGGGCAGACTGTTCCAATGGCTCACTGTCCTTTTASAGAAAGTATTTTTCTTTCTATCCACTAGGATACTTTTCTTTTGACTTGCATGTGTTGCTTCTTGTCTTCCCACGATGTCCTGTAAGGGACCTGGTCTTGTTCAGCCTGGAGAGGAGAGAGCTTTAGAGGAAACTTCATGTTCTTGTAGGAGGATACTGAGAAGACAGGCACTGGCTYTTAAATTGGTAGATATTCCCACACCATTTCAGCAAGGAAAGTTGGTCTGGAGCTGTTCACACTTTGAGAAGTCTTTGAAAGGAGATACTTTAAAGAGAAGCTATCTCACTTCTGCCAGTTGGCAATCTGTGTGAATTTAAGGAATGATTCTGTCCCTTCTTCTCTTTGACTCAGGGAATCCAATGTGCACTGGGTGACATCTTGCCTGGCTGGTGACAGAATCTGTCACTGTCTTGGTCCTTTGGGCATCCACAGTCCATTGGCAGCCTTCTAATAGATGCAGTGAGACTTGTTCTGCTCCAGGTTTTCTTAACAGATAGAACAGGTTTTCCCCTCAATCTCTAACACTGCATACATGTAAGTAGGGATGGTTTTCTCCATTTTTGCATATGTCTGAATTTTCTCTGCAAGAGCTGTCTCATGTTAACTTACTGCCTGAAGTTATACAAATTACTGCTGCAAATGGTTAACACTTAAGGAGATGGGGAAATTGCTGTTCAGACAGTACCTATCAGTCTGGGGAGCAAGTACACAAAAATTTGTTTCATTGTAAGGCAGAGGAGCACCCAAAGGCAAATAACTCCACTGGTGTTCTTGAGCTGTTTAATAACAAGGGGTTTGTTTGTTGTTTGGTTTTTTTTGGTCTTGTTTTTTGTTTGTTTTAAAATCCACCAATGCATTTTTTTGTTTGTTTTTTTGTTTGTTTTAAAATCCACCAATGCATGCACATCTATTTGAGCTAATTTTTTTAAAAAATCATCGGGGACCATGCTGTTATTTCCTTGTTGTATATCACTAGGCTTTTGCATTTTTTTCATAATCTTAGAAGAGAAATGAAAGCAGATTACAAATCAGGSCTGACTCTCTAATTTGCATTTCTAAATCTTACATGATCTTGTTCCCCCAGCATGGCAAATTTCTTAGGTACCAACTCCAGACCTAAATGAAACAAACCTCTGCTGTATTTTGCATCTGATCCGAATTAAAACTAGTGCTTGTAGATATTTAATAAACAGAATATCCTTTCCAATCCTTTCAAGGGACTTGCTACATTTCTCATTTTTAGGTGTTTGTTTCTACTGCTAATGCCTCTTGTGCTGCATCCGAAGCACCCCTGCAGGTTTCAAAAAACCATAACAACCTCTTCACCAAAAACATTTGTCTTCTGAATCTGGAGGGTCATGAAAGTAAAAAGCAAGGAGTACAGAAAGAGAAGGATTTGAGATTTTATTGCAAATTATTTTCCAAGGGACAGACAGAGGGTTTCTCTTCCTGGAGCAATGCTTAGTAGCTAGACTGTGATGCATTTTAACTTAAGATATGGCTAAAAAAGAGGATTAAGTATTTTTTTTTTTTTTACAGCTATTTAAATTCCAGCACTAGCTGTATAAAAGCATGTGAACAGCTTTACAACACCAAAATGAATGTTGACCTAGCCTAGTAGCCTGATTCCACAAAAGCCAGAGAAAATGTATAAGTAAAAAAATAAAATAATAGTAAAAGYGTTCAAAGATTTTATTCTTTTTATTCCTGTAGCCTCACCCAGATGTTTTCAAACTGTAACATGGTGACTTCCAAACCTGMAGTTGCACCAAAACATGTTTGTTTTAAATAGATTTTGTTGATTTTTTTTTTCCACCAGGGAAGAATTTAAGGTCCTTTTAAGTCCTCATATATTGGGCTATTTTGAGAGAGAACCAGATATATTTTCATGATATCACTGTTTGTTGCTGTATTATTATACACTCCTGTACATTAATAGTGCTGAGTTATTAGCATCATCCCMCACATTCTGTGTTGATGCCAGCAGGGTGAGTAAGAAAAACATCTGCCTGGGAGGTAGAAACGTGTTTTTATATGTGAATACATAAACATGAAAATTCTACACCTTCTGGTTTGAACTCACACCAGAGAGCACAGGAGAGACCTGTGAATTTCTGCAGCTGGGAACTGGCCCTTGTGCAAATCCTGTGGGAAGAGGTTGGAAGGGATAAGGTGTCTGTCCCCATCAGTGTTAATGAAGAAGAAAACTGGCAGAGCGAGCACTTCCTCTGGGAGTAAAGCTACGGATGTGGTGACCTGGGACACACATGGTGTTACTTCCTCAGCATTCATGAGCTACATTGTCATTCATTTAAGTCTGGGTTGCGTTGCTTGAACCTAAATGCAGTGCAGGGAATATTTAAGGTAATGTTGATCCTTCCCATTTATTGGGGTTTTTTTTGGTTGTTTTTTTTTTTTTTTTTTTTNTTTTTTTTTTTTTTTTTTTTTTTTTTTTTTTTTTTTTCCCAATGACCTTTTTTATTTAAAAAAAAAATTTGAAGTATTTGAATTTTGTGCATTCGGGATGGATGGGGTCTGTTAAGCGTGGCAGCTCCTGGTGGCTGTGCAGCTCCATGGCATTGATGGGGAGATACAGTTTGGGAAAAAGACTGTTTAAAATAAACAAGAAGCAATTCTTGAGCGTTTTTATACTCAGAGAAGTACATCTACTTAAATTTCCCGGAACATACTGAGATTTTAGTAAATATCTTAATAGGCTCGGAGGTCACAGTGATCCTCCTGTTGGTGCTGTGGAGTTTTCTGGCAGCTGTCACTTCCATGGAAAAACAGGAATGTCAGCAGATGAAAGCAGCATTAACATCTTGACAGATGTGTGTTATAGCAGCATCTTTAGACAGAGCTCATGTGCTTCTTAAGGAAGTTATTTTTTCGTCACAATAACTTAAGTTTGAAAAATCTTGTATTGAAAAGTACCTATGATAAAATCGAGTCTTCCAGAGATATCTGCACAGCCTTTCAGGAAAATCCCACATCTCTCTCTGTTTTGCCCAGAGTTTGCATTGTTAATAGAAAGATGGAAACAGAATTCCCTTTCCTCTTTAATCCTCTCCCACTTTATCTTTTGATGCTTTTAAAAATATTGCCTTTTATACCGTAATAGAAAGTTCATCAGAAACTTGGCAGACAGAAATCCTACAGCCAGTGAAGATGCTGTACAAACAGCAGAGCTGTGAGTATTTAGCAACATCACAGTAGCCTTGTTTCACATTTGCAATTAATACACGTCTGTGTTTGCATTTGTTATAGGACTCCTGACAGCACCAACATAACAAGAAAAACGAACAACCTGAGTAATAAATCTCTGGAGGCATTCAGCAAGTGCCATAGGGCTCATTAATCTTGATTATTCCCCATAATAGATAACTTCACAAATCATCTATTCTCCCCAATCATGCACATAAGGATAATGTATATGTAATAGCCTCCCRTACTGTAAAACCCCAAATAGAATTTCATTTTTTTAAATATAAGTCTTGACAAATGCAAGACAAATATTTATAGAAAAAGGATGGGTATGAATAACAATGAACTGGACTGAAACTAGTCAGGCAGTGACTGCTGTGAAAAGATGGGGTTTGGGATTGTTGGTTTGTGGGGGGTTTCCCTTTACTTTATGATGTCTCTATTTGAATAAAAAAAATTCATTTATTTATAGCCTGAAGTAGATGGGATTTTCTTCCTGAGAGTTTTGGCCCAGGAGATAAAGCAATCTGCAGCTGCAGCCTTCATGCATGGTCCTTAAGGAATGTAGACAGGGGAAAATAGGAGCAGCTAAGAAATACCCTGAATTCCAAACAATTTAATATTTATAATTTATACCACTGATTCCTTTTTCTTTTTTGTATCTWCTCAAAGCCTTCATTTGAAACCTGCCAGAGTTATCAAAGAAAACCCTAGTTTTGATTTGACATGGTCTTCACCTGTTTWCCAACTTTTCTCAACTCCAACTTAAATATGCCAGCATAAGAGATCTGTGAAAAACATCGTCTTTAGAGTAATACTGTATATGATCCTTTCAGTGAGAATAGCAGAGGTGAAGAGTTGCAGGCTGTGCTTCAGCTCACAATTATACCACGATTACTTTAAAATTGGTTGTTCAAATGGCAGAAAATATAGGAGACATATTAAGTTTTGAAAAAAGAATGCAAAACATTATGGTTTAAATGCAATCAGTTTTAAAGGATAAAGGATGAAGTAAAGGAGAAGCAGGTGGAGTGGGGAGGGAAATAAGACTTTTTTTTCCCCAGAAGTGTACCAGTACTTTTTATATCTTTGTAATTGTAGTGACCTTAACCTGATGCTTAAGAGTAGGTTCTGCTGATTGAAGTTTCAGAAGTGTGGAGCTCTATTCACAGCTGAGCCTTCCTCTTATGCAGTATAAAGCACGAGATTTGATTGCCCTCATCTTTGCCCACATACCCATTTGGCCACCTTTCTTCTCCCTCCCTCCATGTGTCCAAATGCTCTCRAAACCCCAGGATTTTGTTCTGTGACYCRGAGCACCAAAATAGCAGTTTTRTGTGAGTGGAAAGGATTTTACAGARTAACAACCCAACAGCTTTAGGGCGTGTTTCTTCTTGTTCACTRTCCCTCYTCCAGCCTTTRTACAAAGTACTCAAGATTCATTTCYGTAAAATTTATSAGGAAAGACAACATATGCATCATCTTTCAGAGCTGGAAAAAGAACAATCTGAAATTTGGATCAATTTCTTTTTTCAAGATCTGCTGTGCACATTATTTGAACAATTCTATTTCTGCAGTTATTTTGTGTGTGGATGCATAATAGCCATCTATAAAGCATCACGGTCTTTTAATAGCCAAAACTGCATGTTGTGTCTCTGTTCCTAAATACATACATGTGAATCACATCCACAAGCAAAATACCTCCTGGCAAAGAGATGAAGAATGGGTTCTTGCCTCTAAGTAAAGTTTTTAAAAGTGGAGGAAAAAAAAATGAAAATGTTCACAATCATCTAAGTTCATGTGGACAGACGATCCTGTTTGTTTGACATTTGCGTGTAGGCATTTCTTTCTTCAGACTTCTGCAAAGAACTTTCTAAGACAATGTCAAAGAGAAGTGCATTTTGGCTTGAGATTTTTCTTTTATATCAGCACAGTCTAGTTGTTTGAAATACAGTTTTGAATCAGGATGAATGGGTTTTATTCTTAACTGTCTGAGAAAAATTCAAATGACTCCCTTAATCTCTCTTGGCCTCAGTTTCTCCCTGTATAAAACTRTACTTATAATGCTTCACCATCTTTGTAAAATGTTCCACAGTCTTCTGAGGAAACAAATTATTTTAAGTTCAAAGTGTTGCTCTTAGTGAAAGAATGATCTTGTTTATTCTTGAAAAAAATACTTTATATAAACATCAAAGAGCTGTTTGTACCAYGTGTTTAATCTGCCATAAGGTGCTWCTGTGTCTCAATTAGCAATATTTTCTCATTCATTTCTCCACGAAAAGGAATGTTTTTGGTGCTGTGGATGCCGTGTGATACAATTCCATCAATGTCAATATGTGCAGGAAACTAAATGCRGTGTTTGACATTGGCCATAATTTCCTATTCTCTACACAAATTAGCATAGCAATGGATGCAAAGTGATACAGAGTCACTTATAATCATTCTCCTTCCACTGCCCAGCCTGGCTGATTTCCCCAAAGAGCCRGGAGTCAGTGCTGGAGGGCAGCTGGAGCTTTGCAGTTCAGGTTGCACCACTTGCAGTCACCTCCAAAAGTTGGGAGTGTCTTTGTCTTTTGTTGAAGGAGATTATCAAAATATAGGGATTGTTTCTTTAGAAGTTAATGCAAAAGGTCACTTTTTCAGGTAAATATTGTCACTGGTTGATAACTTACTTCTGGAAGTATGGAAGAGARCACCAGCATGCAAGGAAGTCAATGCAGTAGAAGAGAAGGTGAACTTGATATAACTTGTCCCTTGTGTGGGTTGAAAAGGAATGAACATTACAAATAACCAATAACCATGGATGACATAATTCCTGAAGGACAACAACTGTGTTGTTGAAACAGTGTCAGTCTCATAGTATTGTCTTTTTTCATCTTGAAAAAGCATTATAAAGCCTTTTCTTTTCTTTGTTATGCTGATACAGTGGTACAGAAGGGGATACCAACCCTTCTGGTTTGAACCAGGATTACTGGGTTTAAACTGACAAAGAATAGAATTAAGCAAGGCTAAAATATGAATATTGGGACATCTTTGCCTCTCTTTAACTGATGATGGAAAGAGAGAGGACAGCACTGCATCAAGGCATTTTGAGTTCAAGTACCCAAAGGGTTACAAGGAGWAGCTGGTGCCCCTCCAGACCTTGCTAAAATGGGATTATAAATACAACTAAATAAGTGCCAAAGTTCCRCTGGAGGGATCATTTACATCTTTCAAGATAACATCTAGTATCATACAGAGGCAGTACTTAACATCCCTTCCAGTGGTATCTCCTTTTACCTGAAAAATCATCTCCACAAGCACTTTGTCAGAGCTCCCATGCTTTCTTCAGTGGGATTAAGTGACCAAAACCCTGTTGCCAGTGTAAACCAAAAATTACATTAGCTGTTTATTTTTAAGTTGTTTGGAAACTTGACAAGTGAAAGCAGCTCTAAATGCATCCAGATTCAAAACACGTTACCCTGAGTATCTGAAATAGAAGTTGTAGTTGTGACAGACTCCCAGTGCTCACATCTCAGGAGYTTAAAAGATGAGAAACACATGTTTAAACTCAGATGCCCAATTTAGAAATAAATTTATACAGGCTCTCAGTCTCTAGACTAGGACCTGTGTTATGGAAAAAAAGTTTATGTAATGCTGTTTCCATTATAAATGGAGGCTAATTTTCTCAGAAAGACTCTTAATACTGAGCAAACAAGTAAGTTTAGTACTAAAAACATTCTCAGTGCTTCATTGCCTTGGGTTTACAATATCATTTGCACGTCAAATTATATTTCATCTTATGATTTAGTAATGCCAGAAGAATAGATCTAATTCTGTGTCTCATGATACCCTTAAAGATGGAAGATTGCTTTCCATGGAGTGTAAAACTCAATTTGTAGTCATGTGTATAAAACATGACTTTATGGCAGATTAGCTTGCTGTAGATTTAGTTCTCTCTGACAGTGAACTGAAAAATATTAGCGTTTCACTGAACACAATATTAATGGCAAGAAGAGAGTATTATTGTAACATTGAAAGTAGAATGGGATTTTTGCAAGTAGAGCAGAGGGAAATATATTTGGAGATTTGCAAGGAATTTAAGTAGAATTGGTTTAACTTTTCTCTTTTCCTCGACCTTTTTTCCCCCTCTCTGTGAGTCATTTTGAAAAACAAAAGTA